GATGAGGCTAGCCCGTCCGCCCTGCAAAGTGAAGTTGGTGGAGGAGCCGCAAAGGCATCTGGGATGCTGGAGGACTGCGGCCTCACTTGAGTCAGGAGGGGATCTGGCACAAAAGTCTGATTGACCGGTCTGATCTAAACCGATTAAATCTGATGCAACGTCCACCCAGGTCTATCTGACACGAGGCTTCGCCAGTTTTCAACCGGTCTGCGCGCACTGAACTTCTGTTGCAGGTTTAGATTGGTTTCCAGTCACTTGTACCGGTTGATGCGTAACGTGTGTACCTAGCCAGTGTGGCCTGGAGAAGGAAGGAAGGAGGAGGGTGGGTGGCACTGACCTCCTAGCCAACCTGCTGGGCTTGAGTTGCGGTCCCCAGTTGAGGGGGAGCCAGGTCAGTTTTCTTCTGGAAGAATTTGATTGCACTCTCCTGGGGGAATACTTGAACAGGGGGCCACAGAAAGTTTGGTGGCAGGGGGGCTTGGACTCTCCTCTGGGGGACAGCAGCTTTGTGTGAAGTGGCTTGGAGACAGAAAGCAGGAACAAGTCTCGGTCCAGCCCATTCGGGCCTGTGGCTTGGCATCAAATGCTTGGGTTCCTGCCTGTGGTCTGGGCAAGGTTTACATGTGCTACGTGGAACAGAAACAGGTGAGCGCACCTCCCCAGGCATCCCCAGGTTTCCAGCGCTCTCCTCGGGTGCAGGAGATGGGGTTTAAACTCCCTCTGGTAGTGGGAGGAGTTGGATTTAGGACTTCTGCAGTCTGTTGAAGGGGCTTCTGGGTTAATTTGAGGGGGTGGCAGTGCTTACTGTGGCTCCAGCCCCATGGCTCCCAACCCTCGTAGATGCAAGGGGCATTTGTACACATGCTCCTGGGGGCGCTTTAATTAGAGTGATTTCAAGAGCCGCTGTAATTAGTGCACCTGGAGCGTCACGTGTATCAGTGTGCTTGCACTGAAAATAGTTAAAGCACCCTTGCTGCCTTAAGCTCGTTGAGCCCTTGCTGCCATTTTTCAGTGCAGGGATGCTGATACACGTGACGCTGGAGTCTGCTGGAGCGCAGAAAGGACCATGCCCCAGCAGACTCAATTAATCTGTGAGTAATTACAACGCCTCGGGGCGGCCTCGCTGCAGAAGTATAGGCATCCACGATGCTGGCCATGCTGTGAGGAGTTGAGTGCTCCCAGTCATGTCAGGCTCTCCCAGCACGGGGTGGTCCAGTGAGCAGTTTGCCAGGACGCCTGTCCGTGCTCCTCCTTCTAACAACCTCGTGAGAGTAAAGAGAGCGCAGGCTTGCCTTCCTACTAACAAAAGCTTGGCCAGGTTTATTGCCTACAGCTGGGTTGTCCATGTCCAGCTTCTGAGCAGCCAGGGGCTAAAAGTCCTGCACCGAAGGGGCACGACTCCCTCTCCCCTTCCCCAACTGCACCCCCATTTTTGTCTTAAGCAGCTAGGCCTGGCAGATACCTGAAATGAGGTTGGATCATGACAAGGATGCCTCTCTTTTTGAAGTGCAGAAGTGTTTTGTTTTTAATTCTCCCTAAATTTGCAAGGTGCTGACACAGCGGAAACCTGTCGCACCGGGTAGCCACGGTCCCTGCGATGTTCTCTCTGTAGCGCGCGGGCCACGTGCTTGGGGAGCACTGCCTTTTCACAAGACGTGTGTGGCCTGGTGACAAACGGTTGGAGACAGGGACTCCTAGAGAGGACCCGCTAATGCGCGACGTGCCCAGAGCCCTGCCGTTGTGATGGCTTATTAAACAATCTGACTCGAGGCGTCAAAGCCATGAAACGGAGCACACTCGGGTGTACGCTGCACTGGATATTTTCCTGTCCATTGAGCCAACAGTAATGAGCTGTTACTTATTTACTGTTGGTTTGTGGTCAGAGAGATCTCTGAACTGTCAGTGCTGTTTGCTCCGAGCTACAGTGAGTTTATGAACCTATGAGTACTACTTTATAGGAGCAGCGTCTGCCGCCCATAGTAGAGCCGTTTACTAAATAGCATCTCTTTTTCCAGTCCATCTGCGCTGGGCCCAATCATTTCCAGATGGGCTCCATGTAACACCCTGAATCTCTGAGCAATTTAAAGATCATCCCGCTTACAGAAGTATTTCCATCTTCCCTTTCCCCCAGGCCTAGAAAGGGCATTTCTCTCTACTTCTGCATGGGTCTGAGATCATGGATGGGTGAGAGTTAGCTACGGTGTGAAGTCCTTCATCTCCAAAGCCATCGGGGCTAGTGATGGGAAAGGGAGAATATCCCCCCTGCTGATAGAAGCCAGGGCCATATATTGCACCGGGAAGGGAGTTCAATCGGCCTTTTGAAATGGTGGCACATCTAGGTACACACCTGTGCTTTGCTTGTTTGCAGCTACTCTTAGTTTTCTTCCCTCCCTGAGTCTCGCCCGGTTGGTCCCCTTGCACCCTCCGTGCCATGGTCCTTGCATGGGACCTGGCACCTGCTCATCAGTGCTGCCACGTGGCACTGCCGCTTAGCTGGCCACAGCGTTGCATCCACCGGGCATCGGTTCTTGCGGGTCAGGAAGCCGCTTGCACTGAGCAACATGTCACTAGCAGGAGCGCACAAGGAAAAGCCCTACTAGTGCACACGTCTCTATTAAATGAGCGGGATTTCCAGAATACATCGCGGGCAGTCTACCGATCTTGTTGCCCTTGCAATCAAGCAAACGTATAAAGCAAAGGCTTGATAGCAGTTTGCTTGGGACCAGAAAGTTGCAATAAGGCAGCGGTCCCAAGCAAACTGCTATCAAACCGTTGCTTTATGCTGCACCAACAATATTGTCTGTTTACCAGCTCTCCGCTTCAAACGCCCCATACGTCTGGTTTACAATCCACTTTAGAAGGAGTCCCAGGAAAGTGTCTGATCTCCTAACCACCAGCTTATTTACTTGGGGGGTTTACGTTGGCCGAGCAGCTTGTCTTTTCTGACTTACCGCGTCTTGTGAACATCACATAATAATTATCTTTTGGTTTTTGCAGAACCCCAGCTGAAAGGAATCGTGACAAGGTTATTCAGCCAGCAGGAGTTCTTCCTGCAGATGCACCCAGATGGTACGATTGATGGGACCAAGGACGAAAACAGCGACTACAGTAAGAAAAAATAGCCCCTTTTTTTTGGTAACGCGCCTATAAATCAAATGCATCACCTCGTGGGTCTTGCTTGTTAAGCTTCATCTATGAAAGATCAAATGAGGACGTGGCCAGCTGTTTTCCATGCAGTGTATTTTCAATGATGCTTTCCCTTTAACTCTCTCCTGTATCACTTTTGCATGTTCCCTGCTTCTTTTTTTCCCCCCTAATGCTACAGCTCCTGTTTGGGGTGGGGAGGAGAATAAAGCCCTTGCTTTGAATTCTTTCCGGGATAGAAATGGGATCTTCATGCGTGTGACAGACATGTGGAGGATTGTCTCCATCCTCATGTAAGAGGAAAATAATCTTTAGCAAAAATAACTGAAAAGGTCGCTAGGCCTCCAGACCTCGAGATTGGCAGCATGCACAAAGCAAAGCTGCATCCAGTCTTGGATGCTGTCTGTTTGGGCCAGCCGCAGGGGCAGCGAAGGAGCAATCTGGCTCCCAAATGCCATCAGCCAGCGGCCGATTCATGTCATCCAGAGGGGCGTATACAGATAGGATGGGCTAGCGAGCAGCAGAGTAAGATGCCTGTTTAATTCAGCAAGGCAGCTCCCTGCTGGCTGTCGGGGTACTCCAGTGCACTGGCTGCTTGATGTTGCAAGAAATGCCACCAAGCTTTTCTTCTTGTTCCCTGAGAAGCGCCCGGTGCCCTGAGCTCCTGCCGAGACAGTCACGGAGGAGATGTAAATCTTCTCTAAGCAACATCTCAGCCCCATGGGCTCTGTGCACAACCCAGGAGTCCTGCAGGTTAAACAACAGGCCATTATTTTTGCTCCTGTTAATGGCAGCTGCCAGGGGAGGATGGAGCCCATCACTTCAGCTCTCCCATTATCGGTCTGAAACCCTCAGTATGACTTAGAAAGGGGTGTCCTCCAAGGCTGCAGGATAGTCATGAACAGAGGTCAGGCGTGGTGGCAGGACCAGTAAAACTAACATCCAGTCCCTCTCATGAGAAGGGATAAGAAAATGCATTGAGCCTCAGTCAGGCAGATTCCCAGGGGACCCCACGGAAAGCTTCCTTTTCTGCAAGGCATGCAGGATTTGGGGTGCTGGCTCTGACCGCTGAGACAGCCCGTGCAGAGGACAAGGGGACAGTCAGACCGATGCACGCCTGGAGCACAGATGTTCTGCGCGGCACCGTCCGCAGGCCGAGCGGGCGCAGGGCCAGGCGCAGTGACGGGAGTGCCGCGTCCCAGACAAGTGCGGCAATTACTCCGCTCTAATCAGCAGAGGCGAGGGCACAGCTGGAGGCCTGCACGTGGGTTATGGCTCCATTAAAAACAACGCAGACAGATGGAGGAGCTTGTGCAGGACAGGCGTGCAAATAGGAGGTTTGCAAAGCCGCCCTTATTGAAGCAGTAGGAGAGGCTGTTGTGATTAGACTCAGCCGCTCCACCCTATAAGGGGAAAGTCCCGCGTGTCTCCATTGCAACTAGACTTTAGCTTGTGGTAGACCATAAGCTTCCAATTCGTACGTGAGTAGGAGGAGAAAAAAGCAATGGGGTGCCTAGTTTTGCTGCAGAGTACAACCCTCTGTTCTTCTGAGCCTGGTCCTGTACCCCTCACTCAGTCGAATCCCGACTTGGGGGGTCTGCTTGAGCCAGGAAAGACTGCCGGATCGGGTCCTGTGCCTTATAAGAAAGCTGGAGGCAATGGGACACTTTTAGGCTGCAGAGACGCGTTCTCGGGGGAGGCCTGCGTGTCGTCTTACTCAGCGGCTGCAGGAGAGGATGGGGATCAATTATTCTTACCTCTCCGTGAAGATGAATGGGCAAGAAAATGATGGGTTTGAATTGAAGTAGAGATTAACGTGGGGGAAAAGCATAGGAAAATGAAAGGCAAGACGCATCTTACAATGGATCAAGCTGGCAAGGGGGGGCTGTCGGACAGGGAATGGTGGAAGCATCAACCTCCATGTGCAGGTGTCTGCAGCGCTCGAAAGCTGACAGCCGGCAATGACTTGCCTGGAGTTGGTCGGAGAATCGCTCTCCCTCCCTTTTCTGACCAGCTCCTGGGCAAACGCAGAAAGGCCCTTGGAGAAAGAGGCTCAGCTCAGAAATGATCGCTGGTTTGGGATGCCCAGTTTGAGACATCCTGCACTGGATCTCAAAAGGGCCGCGCACCTGCAAGCTTCTTTGGGAGACAGCGGGAAATGCAGGTGTCCAGGAGTTGTGAACCGACAGCCCTCGGGAAGTAGTGGCTATTCTTTAAACTCCGGGTCCTCGGGTCACCGGTCTGGCTTGGGCTGAGAGCTGTTTCCCAACCCACTTCAAGTTACCTCCAAATGTTCCTATCACAAGTTTTCATGAACTAAAAAGTGTGCATGTGCATGTTCAAATGATTTGGATCCGTATGACTGGCATTTTGTTTCAATCCAAACCCTTTTCTGTTTTGTGTGGGGCTTTCTTTTAGTATAATTACTGTAAGTTTAGTTTTTGCAAAGGCCTTTGGATAAGAATGAGGCTCTTTCCCTTTTGAAGATGCTCAGACTCAAACCTTTCAACAATTTGAAAACATTTTTCAATTTTTTTCTTTTTTTTTTTTCAGTCAAAAAAAAAAAAAAGGAGTCAGACTGGATTTTTCCCTGCACATTGTTCTGGGCTTCCAGAATCAGCATTTTTTGCTGGAAATCATTTCGCTGGGAAATTCCCAGCCAGCTTGTTTGGGACTCGGGGCAGGGTGAAATCCAGCCGGTCGGGGGAAGAGCAAACATCTGTGTCCTCGTGCAAACTGCAGGTAGCTCATGACCGTGGTGATGCAGGGGGTTACGCTAGATGGACGCTCCAAAGCCTTTTTGACTCGCCTGCCATGTCCATGTTGGGTCTAATTTAAATAAACCAACAGATTTAAATATATAATGGGACACCGTGTCCCATACATCACAGCTTTGCATTCTATTAGTGGTGCACTGATTATTCAAATGAACGTTAAGAAAGGAAGCTTAATTTTCATGGAATATATTATGTTGGTTTACTCTGGAAAGATAAACATTTTCAAATGACACCAGACCCTGGTCCCTTAGCTGGGCCTGGGAGGGAAGACTTATGAGGAAAAGCTGAAAGAGCTAGGGTTATTTAATCTTCAGAGATAGGTATAGATATTCCAGAAACCCATGGCAGAATTGATCTAAATTGCAAGATTTTATGTAAGCAGCTTAGTTTAAACCAGTAATGAACAGAACACACATTCCTCCTTTGGTTGGGGAGGCAAATCATAGATCAGGTTCTGCCATTTTTAAACCAGCCTGTGTGTGCTGAATTTCTGT